CGGATAGCAGGCCTGTCAGATGGGAGGATGAGTTTCATTATTCTGGAAGCCTTGACTGGTAAATAATTTGGCCGCCACACATTCTTCTTTCTGTTGGATCACTTATTCATGCACCTGTAGTGGTTTTTCTTGTGTGCTGACTTAGACATTTGCTGAACCTTTTTTAACCTTCCTGTTGTCCCCGGGTCAAAATGACCTGCCACTGTATTAAAAAAAGCAAAAATCAACTAAATGTAGTTTTTTTTTTAAACATGAAACATTTTCCTAAACTGGCCCCAACAATAGAAACATTAAAATGTTGCTTTTATGACCACTTCAAGGCAAGCTGTACAAAAAAAGGTAAAAAGGTGGTCTTTGAGTAAAAATGACCTGTGAGGCAAATAGAGTTGAAAGTAAGGTCACAGAGCTATTTACCAACCACAGAGTGTGACTTTAGAAGACCACGTGTTTATTTTCAGAGGTTATACAGGTGCTGCAGGCAGGACCTCAAATTTTGTCATTGCTGAAGCCATGAGTGTGCATTACAATGTCGAAGAGGCTTTAGAGCAGGTTTTCTTAGATGTCCAGGAAGACAACTCTGATTCAGAATAGGAAGTGGAGGATGTCAAAAACCCTCAAGCTGAGAGAATTTTTCCTTACAAACTGATTATGTTCATGGTAGAGAATCCTGCTTCACAGCAGAACCTCGAGCCAAACATACTCAAACTGTGCAGGGTCATCTTTGAACACACCATTTCACTTTTCTGTCACCAGTTCACCACAGCTCTTCCACACTTTCTCTGGTTTCTTTTTCTCATCGTCTTCTGCTTCTTTCCCATCGCCTGGCTTGCCACAGCTTTGCCTGCTGTGGATTAGCAAGCAGGTAGGTCCGGATCCATATAACCTGGACTGGATGTCTCATAAGCAAGACAAGAGGAGGGTGTTCCTGGAACAGCTTATAAAGGCACTTTTAACTCCACTCATTGAAAGAAAGAAGCATGTCCCAGCACGAAAACCTCAGCAGCAGTGGTGAAAGCTATTTAGAGTGCAGGAGCTCCTGATCAACATGAGGATCCATCTACCACAGCCACTTCACAGATGGGGCAAGTAAAAGGAAGAGATGTCAGTTCTGCCCTCAAAACAAGGACTGTAAAACACATGCTGCAGGTGTAGGAAATATATCTGCAAAGGCTGTGCACTTGCATACTGCCCAACATGTGAGTTGGATGGGTTATGGTATTTTTCATATTTTTGAATTGTATTGTCTTAAATTGGTCACTGGAGAAAAAAAGATTAATTGAGGCCTGATTGATTCATGGAGTCATTGGGATGAATAAAATAGATTCAAAACTAATTTTTGCACATTTCTTTCTTTTCTTAAGCTGTACGAATTCAAGTAAAGAGGGCAAATTTGAGTATTCAGACATTTTGTGGTAAATGACAACATTTACCACAAAAAGCTGCTTATATTGGGGGTGTAGTGAAGACGGGTCATTCTGACCCGGAGGACACATGGTGTAAACAGAAAATGAGGACAACATGAGGGTTAAAGAACACTGATTTTCTATTAAAAATATTCATCTAAATATTTCAATATAATTCAGTTTATTTATATAGCGCCAATTCACAACACGTCATCTCAAGGTACTTTACAATTCAACCAGATCACACAGTCAAACTGATTCAAAGGTTTCTATCTAAGGAAAACAAGTTGATAGCATCGACTCACTGACTCAAATGCAATCCCTCACACCCAAGGGCGTAGGTTTGATTTGAACTTTGGTAGGGACACTATTGGTCTGGTGTCATTGGTGCTATGCAACATGCCCTTTTTTATGCTCGATGTGAGCATCCGTACTGATAAGAGGAATTCATTGTTAAAAGAGAAAAGCAACATTTTGCTCCATTAATAAAAATGTTATAAGCTCTACACTCATTAGATGCTGTTTATCAATGTTGAAGTATCACCGGCTCTGATGAATGTGGAATTAGGACTGTTTTCCACTTTGAAAACGGTTTCATTTGAACGACTAAGAGAGAAGGTAAATACAGTATTTTCTTTTGAAGATATAGAATTGTGCAGAGTTAAACCCCACTCTAATATTTGTACCTACTATTCTCTCTCTGTATCAAGCAAAATAATACATTCATTAAAATATTAACTTCACTATAAAAGTTGAACATCTGGGCTGTAGTTACTCTGTGTAGCCCATTTTATGTATTTTATCTAGGGCTGAAAAAATGAATCGTATTAATTGATTATTTCAATAATCGTCAACTAATTTAGTAAGTGATTCATCATTAACTGGAGTATAGAGACTTTAAAACATACAGTAATATAAATGAAAAAATGTGCCTTTCCCCACAGAGCAACCCACTTAGATCAGTTATTATATCAAAATTGTAAAAATAAAAAAAAATTGAAAACAGTAATATCAACTAAATATCGGTAAAAAGGAAACCCTCACATTTTCTTTTTTAGTTGGCTGTGGCTAAGAATCAGAAATGTTGATGCTTACAGCCTTTATTTGCCCATTTTTCCAGCAGTCTTCAGAACTCCTGGCTGACTCAGAATATTTCGTTTTATAAAAGAAAAAAAAAGGTTTTTGTTTTTTAGTGTACATGATATTCATTTTTTTTATTGGGACTAGTTTTGTAGCCTAATATTAACTGTAGTAACCGCAGCATTCTAGTGTGAATAAATTTTCAATGTTGTGCTCCAAGCACACGCGGACTAGAAAACAGCCAATCAGAGAGAGAGAAGGCGGAACTTAAGGCAGAACAACCAATGAGAGTTGAGTTAAACAGCGCAGCACAGTTCCATGCGCTGCTACATGAAAGGGACAGGAGAGACCAGGCAGAGGAGCTGCGAGAGGAAAAGAAGCCACTGCTGCAACAACTACTGCTGTAAATTATAAACATGTTGCTCACATCCAATTATTGGTAGGGACAATTAGGTCGGTTCAGAATTTTGGTAGGGACATGTCCCTATGGTCCCTATGCAAACCTACGCCCATGCTCACACCAAACATGTTTGTAGCGACAGTGGAGAGGAAAAACTCCCTTTTAACAGGAAGAAACCTCCAGCAGAACCAGACTCAGCATGAGTGGCCATCTGCCAAGGCCAACTGGGGTTCAAGGAGACAGAAGCACACATACAGAAAGAAGCAGAGATACAAAAGGCAACTGTCAATCAGGAAACACACAACCAGGCAGATGAGCTCCAAGCCAGCCCCCACATCAGAGGACAAAGAGAGCACATCCAGTTAGTCACAGTCAGAGAAACAGGACTACACTGTCAAACAGGCTGAGCTTGAAAATCTATATACAAAAGTGTTGAGAGCAGCAGCACAGCTGATTTTTCTCCAGGATGATTTCATACCCAAACAGGAACAGACCAGATGAAGCAGAGAGAGAGAAGAGTGTTAGAGATTAAACTAACAAATTCTGCAAAGTGGGAGAATAGAGATAGAATGAAGCAGGATGACAAAAAAAGGGCTTCCTATGTCCTCCAGCAGTCTAAGTGTATAGAAGCATAACTATAGAGATAGCTTTGGATGACCTAAGCCACTCTAACTTTATGCTTTATTTCTGCCTCACAGACTAAAACTGGAAGTTGGTTGCACAGGAGAGGAGCCTTATAACTAAAAGATCAATTACAGCATCCTCAGGGTATTTGGTTTGGTGTTTGCTACTGATCGCATAAAGTTCTTTCAGGGCTAGCTTGGCATTAGCATCTGAGGATATATATACAGCAGCTAGGAAGACAGAAGTGAATTCCCTTGGAAGGTAATAAGGTCTGCATTCCATCATAAGATGAACATAAAATGGAGCTTGGCCGTTTTAGGCTTTATATGCAAAAAGGAGGATTTTAAACTGTTAGAACCCCACCTAACTGCTTAGAACATTGAGTTTCTGGATTCGAGCCCTACTTCCACAGACTGCCAGTCTGGGTCTTTGAGCAAGACCTTTAACCCCACACTGCTCCCCGTGTGCCCTACAACAGCAGCCCACTGCTCCCAAAGGGGATGGGCGAAATTTAGAGCTAAATTTCTCAAATATGAGATCAATAAAGTTCAATTATTATTATTATTAAATTCTATTTTGAATTTAAGGGCATTGCAGACTATTTTTGCATATTTTAAAAGAACCGCCCCCTCCACTTAAAAAAAAAAAAAAAAATGATGTTTGAAGAATTTATAGCAAACTCAGTTAACTTTTTTTTTTACTTTAATTAGATTATCATGATTTACACCTTATGGATTCTTTTCAAATTTATTTAATTTTGGTTATGGCAAGACACGGTCTGGATGGAGTAATGAGTAGAGAAGCTGCAGTGTTAATGGGGTGTGTTAAACTAGGACTCCTCTTCCTGGTCTGCACCCTGGCTTCTCAGGGTTTAAGAGGATTAATACATTTTAGCCATTTGGAATTTTTTTTAATCAAAAGTCAACAAAGCATTTTGGAACTTTCAAGATACAACATGATTTTATTTACGTTTTTACAATAGAAACAAATTATTTTTTGAAGTTTTTTGCTTGAAAATGTTTAAATTAATGAATACGCTTTGTATTGTTCCACATGTCCTATTATTTTGTACCTCTCAATGCAACAATTTGTACTGGCCAAACCTTTTTGCAGTCAGAGGTGTTCTGAAACTTCTCTAACTCAGTTGATGTGCAGGAAAGGTTACAGCTTTTGACTGTGGGGAAGAGAAAAATACTCCTCTTGAGGAGCACACTACCTGAGGTAGTTTTGTAGTTATTGTATAAGTCTTATTTGAAGCCATCAAGCTTATTTTACTGACAGTGTAATAGTGATTCATTGAAACCTTTCTGTGTTATAGTAATTATCAGGTGAGAAAACACTCCAGTTAAAGTCATAAATCCAAAACACTCACACTTCAAAATTACATATCTGTTTTGGGACACAGTTGCAGCTCCATCTTGTGGCTTAAACAAAATGCAGCCTTTAAATTAGATAACCATTTAGGTAAAGCCCATAACATCAGCCCCCATAGCCAGTCAAACCAAAAGACCCACACCAGATTGTTTAACACTCAACAGGATGGAAGACGCTCCTTCTAAGATGTGCCATAACCTTGGACAGAACACCTCACAGGGTGCCAAAGAGCGCGGCAAGTGGGAAACCAAGAAAGAGTTTATCTTGAGTGTGGCCGGTGCTATTATTGGACTTGGCAATGTGTGGAGATTTCCATATCTTTGCTACAAGAATGGTGGGGGTGAGTAATTGCACTGGTTTTCTACTTGGTTGGAGGGAGGCTTTGCAGACTTATGTACATACAATCTTGTATCTTTAGGAGATAGTTGAGAAGTTCAGTTCTGTAAAAAAAAAAAAAAAGTAATGTACAACAACAGTGTAAAAAGATGAATAAAAATCAAATAAGTAAGGATTTTTCAGGTCATGAAAGCCTGCAAAGATAAATAACAAAAATATCCTTTATTCTCCCCAGTTGGGAAACGTAGGTTTTACCAGCAGGAAGTTGAAGCATGCAGCTTTACTCAAAGATAAAAATATTAACAGTATAAGAATATAAAACAAGGGTAAATTTACAGTAAAAAAACAAAAAACCTTTCCATTACATACTATCAATACTTTAGTCAAGAACAGTCACCTTTTTTATTTTGACTGGACATTTCAAACTTTTAATAGGTTACAGATCATTTAAAAGTTTAAGCCAGAATCATCAGATTGCAGGGGCATCTGCTGCTTCTCTACAGTATGTGTGTTTGGCCATGTACTTGTTACCTGGGTGGGACAATTTCCTCAAAATATGATACATTCAGGGGGTTTATAGATATTTGTGGGGATGGTTGGTCCCCATGAGGAGAATTTCACTTTTTGGAGTGGGGTTAGGTATAGGAAAAGTTGGGAATTCAGTTTAGGTTATGTTTAGTGTAAGGGTCTTGGTTAGGACATGAAAATATATGCTATGTGAACAGATGTCAACGAAAAGTCCACACAGGGATAGTGTGATATATTGTAGGTGTGTGTGTGTGTTTTGTATTTGACAAAGTGGGGCCCATTTTGGCATGTCTCAAAGACATTGGGCAAGATAGCACATTGTGGACACCAACTGCTCCTTGTGGGGCTCAATGCCTGAACCCCATGAAGAGAATCACCAAGGTGGGAAATGAGTCCCAGTTAAGCTGTTTGAATTAAGAAGAGGGTGTGTGTAGGGGTGTATGTGTGTGCTCTTACCCACCTATCAAACAGGGGACAGTCATGTTGTTGAACACTTACCAACAGGGGACAATCATTTTTAAGGTCCCTCCTTTGTCATGCTCTAAATCATGTTAAAAAACATGTTAAAAACCTAAATTTTGTGTGGGTGTCTGTGTGTGTGTTGGGGGGTTCTCCTGTTTTGCATTCAGACTTAGAACCATTTTTCTAAATTTCAATATAAAATTGAGGACTGGTTGTTGCAAAGTATGGCCTCTATATTTCATCCTCTACCTTGTTTCCCTTTAGTACCATCTTTGGGAAATGTAATATTTATTTTTATGCATGTTATGTAGATGACACCTAGCTCTACAGTATGTATATGGTAAATCTATCTCCAAATTTCCTCCTGTGCTGATGCACAGACCTATGTAAAATTCCCTATGCTCTAGGATTTCCGTTAAAAGAGTGACAAATGACTGTCCGGTAATTAACCTGCATTTTACAACTGCAACCAGCATTTCATGGACTACGTCTGTGACATACCTCAAAAGAACACCAGACATTAATCTCTTGGCTATATCTTGGGTTGTTGCACATAAAACATCCCTCCTATCTTAATGTCGGCAGATATTCTCCCTTCAATTAATTGCTTGATAGCATGTTTTTACTCGAATCAAAGTTGTTTGGACATGAAATTGGACAGAGAGCCTCTGCATTGTCCGCCCAAAGCATTGATCTTATTGCTTTTTCAATTAAACTTAAGTTGCTCTTTTAAGCATAGATTACATTTTCCCAATAACATCAGTTCCAAAAAAATGGTCAATGTCAAGACCACCATTGTCCAATATGTATGCAGTTTCATCATGCACACGTCTGTATCTTAAGCCTGTCTTTCCTGGGATCTTCATAATCTCCATGCCAAGGAAATATTCATTTACTTTGGTAATGATCCAGATCAGGTACGAATTCTAGCTATAGTTGTACTCCCCAATTTCCGGCAAAATTTTCTACTTGGCAGTGCAGTGCCAGTGCTTTTATAGTTAGAATTAAAATGACTGCAAACATGGAAAAACTTCAAACAATTAAATCTGATTTCTTCAAAAAGTCTGTTATTTAATGACTCGATTATTGATAATCAATTTGATTTATTTTGTCTTACAGAAACTTGGCGGCAGCCTCATAAATGAGGCAACCTGCTCTATATATAGAAAGAAGTAGCAACAATTTTTCAGTCTGACTTACTGATTAGTCCAAAGCAAGTTAATAGTTACAAATCTTTTGAACATTGAACCCTTAGTTCCCCCCATCCAAATTGTACAACAAAATCTCGTCTTTTTGGAACTTTGTATCTTCCCCCAGGTCCTTACTCATTTTTCAGATTTTCTGTCTGGTGTAGTATTGAATACTGAAAAGATCATTACAGTTGGGGATCTTAACATTCATCCCAACATTGAAGGTTGTTGTGCAAGTTAACCAAAAGTTTATGAATATATTACACAACTAAAACTGGAAGTTATAGTTAATTAATACATCATTCAAATTGAGGGTAAAACAAAATAATTATTATTAGCTGATTGGGTATGACTTTAATTTGCTTACTCACCAGGGTTCTTAGTCTCTTATGTAAATGGGTGGACCAGCTGTTTTAAATCCAGTTGTCTTTACAAATTTAGCAGTTCAGAGTATGGCTACCAGCAGAGTTATTATTCATTAACCAAATAAATCTGTCTTTTCTGGAGTTAATTTTACAACTCACAGCCCGAGATGCCTCCCTTTAGCTACAGCAGTTACCTGTGGGCAGCCCTCATGTAGCAGCAGGAGTGGCAGCTCTTAGGCATCTGTCAGTACAAGTGTAGCACAGATCAGTGCCTCGTAACGGCTCCTTGGCAAACAGCAATTGGGTCCTACTGTTGTTCCTTTGGCAGTTCGATTTAGGTCGATCAGAGCTGGATTAGCTCTTCTCTGCTGCAGCATGTGGGATCATGCAGGACACAGGAAAAGCGATGAACAGCTCCTTCTGAATCGTAGGATGGGTAGTCTGACTCAGTCCAGCTACCACAGACCCCTCAAGAGGGATTTGGTTGCTACTTAGGATAATTTTCAACTGAGAAGCACTTAGTCTAAGCCTTTAGTGGCCACAGACCACTGGCAACAGGAAGTTGAATGGGAAAGAGCTCCTCTTATAGACTCCGTCGGAGGCGTATGCCTTCAGAGTGGAGTCGTTCCGGTTACATCACTGACATTTGATCTCAACAAGGTGATTGCTTAATTGCAACCTTAACTATTGTCTTAGACTCGAATGGCTTTGTTCAAAATGTAATATTCCCCTTCATAAATTGATGGTTGTCATGATTTTATCAAGAGCTTGGACCCACATGCAGAGAAACCAATACAGAGAGACTAGGGAAAAAGTTTAACAGGTTTATTGAGAAGTTTGGTGGAGATTCCAGTGTTGCTCTGAACACTGCTCAACCGGAACTGAAAGGTGAGGGGAACACACTGCGGTTAGTTCAGGTTCAGTGGGTGAATTGATTCTCGAACTTGAAGAGGAGAAAAGGTTGGCAGACTCACGTTTCCAGAAATTAGGTTGACTCCACTAGGTGCGGAATGTGTTCCGGTGTTTGTCTAATACGGTGGAGGGCGGACAGGGTTACCCAGAATGCAGTTGCTTGTAGATAAACGGAGAAAGACTGACTGCCACTCGGATTTCCTGCAGTACTTGCAAGGACTGTTGTGCAGGTTAATCCCTTGCTCAGTGAGAAGCTCAAACGTTTCCTCTGGGAAAAGTGGATCCAAACCTCCGGTTTGTTTCCTCAGCTCAGTTTGAAGCTTACTTGATCCTTCCAAGGAGAGAAGGTCCGAAAAATCCAGATTGCAGGATGTTTCCCTGCCGAGAAGCAAAGACAAAAAACAATGTTAAGACTCAGGTTGACAAAAACTCAGTTTGGCTCAGCAAAACTCAGCTTTGCAAGAGTACCCAAAACTGGCAAACACTCTGGCGTCGAGGTAGTGGCAGTCAGCAGCTTAAGAGCACTCCGTTAACAAGATAACCCCTTGCAGGTGTGTGAGGAGGAAAATCAGAACCAGGTGGCTCCTGGTGGAGGAAGGAAGACAAACATACAAACACACAGACCACAAAGACTGGAGTCCTAACAATGGTTTTGTTGATGGGGTTACTACACTCAAAAATAGAAATGCAAAACTTTTGGCTCCCATTTTTGATGAGATGAACTCAAAGACCTAAAACTTTTTCTGCATACACAAAATTAACATTTTCCTCAATTATTGTTCACAGAGCAGTCTGTATCTGCGATTGTGAGCAATTCTATTTTGCTGCGATTATCCGTCAAACCTCACAGGGGTGAACTATCAAGATGCTGATTAGACATAATGTTTAGTCTATATCTATCTATAGACAGATACACTTTACAATGTTGACTTTACAATTCACCAGATCATAAAGTCAAACTGATTCAGAGTTTTCTATCTAAGGAAAACCAGTTGATTGCATCAACTCACCAACTCGAAAGCAATAGTAACCAAGATAACTGTTGAATGTAAATGGTACACAGAACTGAACTGAACCTCACCAGACACATATGAACCACGCTAAGATGGTACTAGTCTATCAGTAGATATCATCATCATCTTACTCTTCCTGAATGTTACAGGCATCGCCATGTTTATTTGCTTGTTTACCTCTAGAGAGCAGTAGTACAGTAGATCGTCACTAGGAGGTGAGGAACCATGCTAACGTGATATGTAAAAGGTCATAAGAACCCGAGCTTGACAGAGTTAACTGATCCAAGCTTGGCACGGATCGGTTTTCAGAGGGTAGTGTAAAAGGGACTAATAGCAGCATAACTATAGAGATAGCTCAGGATAACCTGAGCCACTAACTATAAGCTTTATTAAAAAGGAAAGTTTTAAGCCTACCCTTAAAAGTAAACAGGGTTTCTGCCTCACTGACTAAAACTGGCAGTTGGTTCCACAGTAGAGGAGCCTGAAAACTAAAAGATCTGCCTCCTATTTTACTTTTAGAAATTCTAGGAACCACTAATAAACCTGTTAGGAACATAAGGAACAATCGTATCTCTGATATAAGATGGAGCCTGGCCATTTAAGGCTTTATATGTGTATTTATGTTTAAATTCTATTCTGGATTAAACAGGAAGCCAATGAAGAGAAACTAGGATGGGAGAGATATGATTTCTGTTTTAAATTTTCATCAGAACTCTGGCTGAAGCATTTTGGATCAGCTGAAGGCTTTTAACTACAGTTTGTAGACTTCCAGATGTAAAGAATCACAATAGTCCAGCCTTGAAATAACAAATGTATGGACTAGTTTTTCAGCATCCTCTTCAATGGCTGTGCAAAGTTGCTGGATATTGGCAAAAACTGGTTCAGTCTGTTGTATACGCCAATCCAGAGCACCCCAAACATGCTCAATGGATGAGTATGGCGGTGTCTGGTGAGTATGCCGGCCATTCATGAATTCGGACGTCTTCAGCTTCCAAGAACTGTATACCGATCCTTGCAACATTGGGCCATGCATTATACTGAAGCAAAATGGGGTGATGTTCTTGCATGTATCGCAGAACAATGGGCCTCAGGATCTCGTCATGGTATCTATGTGTAGTCATAATTCCATAAGTGCACCTGCGCTCTTCATTCATAACATACGCCTGTAAATAAAAAAAATATTAAAAAAAAAAGCGAAATACCTGTCAATATTTGGGGGGGTCCCCATCTCCTGGTTGTTGCACAATACTGATCTAAATTTTCTTAATATGCAGTAGGCCTATAACATTTCAAAGTCAAAGTCAGCTTTAATGTCAATTCTTCAGATTCACCAGACATACAAGGACTCGAGAGGACGTTTCTCATTCACCAACAGTGAAACAGATAAAGTGTCCAGGCACAACAGATAAGATCAGTTCCTAATATTAACATTTAAACATTCAATTTTACAATAAAATATAAAATGTACAATAATATAAAATATTCAGTACTTATGCTAGTGCAAAAAGGCAGATGGTAATGGCAGCAGAAAAAATTATTATTATTATTATTATTATTATTATTACCAATTATGTAAGATATAGCATTTGTAACAGTAACAGTGCAAATGCACAGTAAATAAATATATTATTAATAGTAGTGCAGGAGACAGTTTGTCCGGAGTGATTTTTTTTTTTTTTTGAGGGGGGCTCAGCTTCCTGACAGCTTGGTGGATGAGGCTTTCTGTGAATCTGGTAGAGCAGGCAAGAGCCTGAACAGACAGTCTATGAAAACACACACATGCACAAAGACTGTCAGTCTCTATCTCTGTCTCTCTGTCTGTCTCTTTCTTTGATGCAGGCACATGTCCTGCTTTAATCCAGTTTCTGACAAATGGAACTGGGTCGAATTTGTCCAGAGGAGGTCCGTTGAGGTCCACAAAAAGGAGTGAAGACATGCTGTCTTCGTGCAATCTGTTCCTTGTAGCCCGTGTTATTAACTGCGGAAAAGCAGATGGCTAATTTGCATATGCAAGCAGGATTGGCTGGCTCCACTAGGTAAAAAACAGAACATATTTTTAAATAAAGGTTTTGAATTTTAATAAATTACATGTTGAGCTTACAAAACATTTTAGTGACAATTAGTGACAAAAAAATATTTTATTTTTAATTTTTTGACACAATTTAAAACCCCTTTAGATTTTGCTTTTGAGGCTTTCAGGGGGTCTCATGGGTTAATCGGGGGGACCCCCCCATATTTCGCACTCTGTTTTTTATATATATATATATATATATATATATATATATATATATATATATATATATATATATATATATATATATATATATATATAGAACCATTTCGCTGGAGGGGATTCAAATCTCCTAGAAGCTTTGGCAGCAGCTAAGTAGATTAGTGTTCACCCTAGAAGGATGGACCAACAATCCTGAGGCGCTCCCTGCTGTGACTTTGAAATCTTAAGCTGCACAGACGTAACCATAAAGCCCTGACACTGTTTTAAACTCACATACTGAGAAACAGAACGTCCGTAGTATGCTGCTTATGATTGTTGATCAGGTTGCTCTAATAAAAAGCAATATTTTGAGAGCTCCTGATGCGTGAACAGGAACATTATCATTCACAGCTCAGCCCCCCACCCTCACCAGGGTGCCCCATGGAGCTAAAGGACAAGGCAGACTTCCAATCACCATGAAGGAAGAATGTCTGCACAGAGAACAAGTGTTTGGGCTTTTTTTCAGCCATACTCTAAAACACCAAGTTTCTTAATCGTTGGATTTGATCTTCCTGCAAAATTCTGGTTTAACGGAGACAAGGAAGTGAATAAGAGAGGACAGGCAAGTCTGTATGTACAGGTAATAACCTCGGGACTATAAGGTAGCCCGTAAATTAACACGTTCATCTGTAAGCATTCCAGTAGAGGAAGGATAAGGTTGCTTGAGAGCTGCCAAACACCAGGAAGCAACTGTAGGTAGAAAATATTTTTAAGATCTCCAAAATTGTATTTCAAGCTAAGATTTAATACATTAAGGCACTTCGACTATAATATCTTGAAAATTGGATGGTATGTTAAAAAGTAGCTGGGACAAGAGGGTGAAATGTAATCCCTTGACCCCTAAGGTTTCAGTGAAAGAACATGTGTTTGCACAGTCAACCTTTGCTCTCACCAGTATTTACAGATTATTGAATTACACCTACAGGTCAGATAGGGACGGTCAGCCAAAGGTAAAGATCAAACACACAAAATTAGAGTATATCTCTAGGTTGTTCTAGAGATATACTATGTTATTAAAAATGAAATCTGTTTTTCAGATTTTTTCTTTTTTCAATCAAGCCTGTTACAGCAAATTTATATATATATATATATATATATATATATATATATATATATATATACATCTATATATATAGATATCTATATCTATCTATATATATCGATAGATAGATAGATAGATAGATAGATAGATAGATAGATAGATAGATAGATAGATAGATAGATAGATAGATAGATAGATAGATAGATAGATAGATAGATAGATAGATAGATGGATGGATGGATGGATGGATGGATGGATGGATGGATGGATGGATGGATGGATGGATGGATGGATGGATGGATGGATGGATGGATGGATGGATGGATAGATAGATAGATAGATAGATAGATATGCATATAACAATTATAAATAAATAAATAATTATTTCTTTGATCGCAACATAGTGCTATAGTTTGTAGAAATTCTTCCATATTTTTCTACGGGTCACTAGGATCTTATTACATCAGCTAAAAGAAGCACACCCTTGTATTAATTTCGCAAGAGTTGTTGGATCGTTCGAGCCTTTGGCTATCTGCCCTGGTCCCATGTGAAGTGATGAATTACCTAAACTAAATGTAAAGACATTTGAAAAGGGAGTCAGAAGAAGCTCTGTTTCACGGTGAATGTTGAAATATTTATCACAAGAAATAAGCCAAGCTGAGCGATGAACTCTTTCCTCCCAAAAAGCACACACAATCTTCAGGAGCTTGTCAAATAAATCTGTTGGCACAACTTCTATTTATTTTTTCTGACCTAAGCAAGGACTTTCAGATATATCTCAAGCCAGTTTTATGGCCTAGCCCTTAAGTAATTTGGATTAGCTATGTTAGCAAAAAATAAAAAAAAATGTGATGCCTTACTTTTTGCAAATTAGATCATAACATCACATATTTCCGTCAGGGTTTTGTTATAGAATTTAGTCATTCTGTTATTTGGATTATCCAAGTGAGTCAGAATGTAAATACCAAAATGCCAAAAAGTTTGTTAAGGCTAGGGCTGCACAATTTAGCTTTCACCACAATAGTGAATATGTATGAATATCTCAAAGAACTTCCTAGAGTCTTATACCTAACTATTAAAGTTACATACAGGCATTAAAAAAATAATTGTACTTTTTTTCCAGTGGCTCGAAAGACTGTTTTTAATCCACCAAAATCAACTGTAAATCTAGAGGCTAAATTCCAAATTTATAGAATTCCACCTACAAACAAAAGCTAAAAGAGAACTGGATTATGTTGATAAAACAAAAATAGCATTATATACAGCTTTGAATTAAAATTCTGCAAAAAAGCATTGTTTTGATTAAGCATATCATTATTTTTAGAGATTTTATTGGACTGAAATTTATACAACTTCAAATTATTTCTGTTCAGTGAGAGAAACCTTGTTGTGTGGGGCTGTTATCCTGCACTTATTTTCTTTAAAGACTCTACAGGTCAGAGTGTTGTGTTTCTGAAGTATATTTTTTGATGGTTTCCATCATCCAAGGTTCAGTTGGATAATAGTATTTACAGTGCTTTTTATAACTTACAGGTGCATTCTTCATCCCTTACTTCCTTTTTCTTGTTACCTGTGGTGTACCTCTGTTTGTCCTGGAAACATCGCTGGGCCAGTACACCAGTCAAGGAGGAATCCTGTGCTGGAGAAAGATCTGCCCCTTGTTTGAAGATGAGCAAACCAACCTATTCAAAGCATAAATAAAATGTAGAAAGAAATGGTTACATTTAACAAGAAATCTAAAATAAATTATTTGTTTTTCCAGGTATGGGATATGCCAGTCAGTTGATAATTTTTTATGGAAACATCAGCTATGTTGCGATTTTAGCCTGGGCATTCCTGTATTTCTTCTCGTCATTCTCTGGAAAGTTGCCATGGGCCAGCTGTAACAACACGTGGAATACAGGTAAATAATTCATTATTATAATAATTGAACACTATAATTGAACACTAACATGCTGTTGTATTAAATCACATTAATGTAAATAATTTTTTATAAGGACTTAAAACCAAGCAAAACCAAGTCAAGATGCACAAACTGTAGTGACAAGTTGGCATGTTTAACAAAGATTTGGTATATTTCAGATTGTTGTGTGGAAATAAACAACTATATTAAGACTGCCAACTGGACCCCACCTGTGAATGCATCATCATCTGTTATAGAGTTTTGGCAGTAAGTCTCTATTATCAGGCTATTATTATTAATAATTATTAATAATACTTTCCTGTAAATAAAGGGAGTTAAAGTGGCTCGATGGATGGATGGATGAATGGATGTTTTGTCAAAATTTTTACGAAAAATGTATTTAGTTTCATTCAAAGTCTTTTCATGGAATTAAATGTAAATTTAGTCAGTCTTTGCCTACTATAACCAAATTTAAAAATAGAAACCTCTTTCCAGACACCATTTGAGGAGAAGTTTAGTCACATCTTGTAGAAAAAGTTATACTTGAATCAAAACAATGAAAGCCAAAATGGACTGTGGTCAGCAGGGCAGTATGCAGGGCCCAAAAAATGCTGAGGTCAAGAGTCAGAACTTCTAAGCTTGTTCGGTAGCAGGCTCCCTCAGAGATGCTTTTAATTCCATTATTCAAATCTGTTCATTTTCAGAGTTTTTAGGAGCAAAAACCTCATTGTGACTTTTGAAAGATCTTGACTATGAATTTCTCTGTTTGTCATAATTTTATCCAAAGATCTGACCCACATGCAGAAAACCAAACAGAGAGACCAGGGGAAGGTTTAACAGGTTTATTGAGAACTGGTAGAGATGGGTCAAGTGCTGCTCTGAACACTGGCGAACCGGGACTGAAAAGTGAAGGGGAATTCCTGTGGTTAGTTCAGGCTCAGTGGGAAATTTGAGCTTCGATTTGCAAAAGGGAATAAAGGCAACAGGACTCACGTTTCCTGAGGAGGTGTCTTTCTCTGAATCCAGTAGGTGTGGGTTGTTCCAGTAATTAACTTGCTCGTTGGAGGGCGGACAGGGATTACCCAGGTCGAGGTGTTTCCTTGAGGAATGGAGGAGCTGGCTGCCACTTAGATTTTCTATGGTACTTGAACGGTTTCTTGAGGAGATGAATCCCCTGCTCGGTGTGAAGCTCAAACAATCCTTTGGGGAAAAGTAGATCCAAACCTCCTGTTTGAATCCCCAGCTCAGTTTGAAGCTCAGATGGGCTAGAGTACCCAAAACTGGCAAATACTATGGCGTTGAGGTAGTGGCAGTCAGCAGCTTAAGAGTCCTCTGGTAATGAGGCAACACTCCGCAGGTGTGTGAGAAGGCCAACGAGAACCAGTGGCCACCTGGTGGTGGAGGGAAGACAAACAAAAACACAACCCACACAAACTGGATTCCTAACACTGTTCCTCCTCTCCTGTCTCCCCTGCTAGACATTTCAGACATTAAAAACGTGATTTTAATCTCATCTTTCGAAGCTTAAGTCTATAACTGCTTAGAAATATGTCACAAATGACATTCCAGTATAACTGAAATGTCAGTTGAAATTAGTTGTTTCATATATACATGAGTATTTCAAATAGACCTTCAGACCCTATTACATTATTAGGTTGATTATGGGGTCTTATATTTCAATTGAGTTCAGTTTATTTATATAGTGCCAAAATACAACACATGTCATCTCAAATCAATTTACAGTTCACCAGATAATACAGTCAGATTTATTAAATGTTTTCTGTCCAAGGGAAACCAATTGATTGCATCGACTCATTGACTCGAAGGTCAATCCCTCAAACTAAGCATGCCTGTGGCAAAAGTTGAGAGATAAACCTCCCTTTAAACAGGAAGAAACCTCTAGCAGAACAAGGCTCAGTGTGAGAGGCCATCTGCCGAGGACGACTGGGGTTCAAGGAGACAGAAACAGAGATACAAAAGGCAACTGTAAAAGACGGCCCTGTCCAGAAAACACTCAACCAGGCAGACAAGCTCCTTACCAGATCCCATGTCAGAAGATGAAGAGAGCGCATCCAGTCAGTCACAGTCAGAGAAACAGGACTTCACAGAAAAACAGGCCGATCTGGAACATCTATAGACAAAAGTGTTGATGGCAGCAGCACAGCTGATATTACTCTCCAGGATGGTGTCACAGCCAAACGGGAACAGATGAGGCGAAGCTAGTTGTATAACATACTTATTATAATCTTACAGAATTTTCAGTTATCATGCATTAAACATCCAATTTTTTAAAACAGTTCAGGTACAGTATCTCTGGCTCTCCCTCTAACCTTCTCTTCATTGCTCCTCTAGCTGCTTGGCTCAAAGAGGTGCTCAGTTTGACTCAGCATTTTCTCCCTATTCGATTTTCCCTTTAGTGAAGAATTTCAATACAATCAAAAGTTAAACTGATAGCATTTCAACATCATGTTTCAATGCAGGTTAACTTAACTTGTGGTCCCGGTTAGAGACTCATGTTTATAATTTGACAGTGGACTGCACTAGGTGAATAAATTGAATACATGTACATGTATGGTCAAACAATCTCAGCCAAAATTACGTTTTTAATTTTTTTTTTACTTTTACATTGTTTTCTGTTCTTCTGAGATTGTTCCATGGGTAAATATACTACAGCCTATATTAGTCTTTAGTGAAAGACTTTTACACCCTGTTTGTAAAAAGGAGCGCTACCGCAGCTCGTTCTTCCCTGCTGCCACCAGACCATACAGTGCCCTCCACAATTATTGGCACCCCTGTTTAAGATGTGGTTGAGGACTTCAAAAAATTCTCCTTTTTTTAAACAACATGAACCCAAAAAGTGAAAAATCCAAACTTTTAAGTACATTACTTTGGTGGTAAAAATAAAATCATACATTTAGAAAATAAAAAATGTGAAATCATGTGTTCCACAATTATTGGCACCCCTGATGTTAATACTTTGTACAGCCCACTTTGCAAACAAGACAGCACCTAATCTCCTCCTATAACATTTCACAAGATTGGAGAACACAGAGAGAGGGATCTTTGACCATTCCTCTTTGCACAATCTTTCTAGATCATCCAGTGTCCTGGGTCCTCTCTTGTGCACTCTCCTCTTCAGCTCGCCCCACAGGTTTTCGATTGGGTTGAGTTCTGGAGACTGAGAAGGCCATTGGAGGACCTTGATTTTGTGACTGCTGAACGATTTTTTTGGCCACATGTTTTGGAACATTATCCTACTGAAAGACCCAATGACGACCCATCTTCAGCTTTTTGGCAGAGGCCATTAGGTTTTCATTTAAAATGTCCTGGTATTTCAAAGCATTCATGATGCCATGCACCCTAACAAGGTTCCCAGGGCCTTTGGAAGAGAAACAGGCCTACAGCATTACAGATCCTCCACCATACTTCACCATGGGCATGAGGTGCTTTTCGGCATACTCATCTTTTGTTTTACCCCAGGCCCACTTAGTGTTTTTGCCAAAAAGCTCAATCTTAGTCTCATCTGACCAAAGCACACAATCCCAGTTGAAGTCCCAGTGCGGCTGAGCAAGCTCCAGGTGTTTATGTTTGAGTGTTGGTGAGAAATGAGAAAAGGCTTTTTCCTCGCATGCCTTCCAAACAGTTGTTGGCATGTAGAGAGCGTCTGATGGTTGTTTCTGAGATTTTGTGACCCCAAGATTCCACTCTTTGTTGCAATTGTGTGACAGCAAGCATTAGACTTTTTTTTACTTCTCTTACTATCCTCCTCACTGTGTGTTATGGCAAGATAAACTTGGGACCTCTTCCAGCCTTGTTTGTTCCTCCAGTTGTTTTAAACTTCTTATTGAATCCTATTACTGTAGATACAGGCAAGTTAAGGTGAGTGGCTATTTTCTTGTAACCATTGCCTGACTTATGAAGGTCAACGCACATCTGTCTTACTTGAATTGTGTGTTCTTCTGTCTTTGCCATCCTGTCTAATTGGTAAGGGAATTAGGTCTCTGTGTCACGTCATATTTATACCCCAGGGAAACAGGAAGTCATGAATTACTAATTAAAAGTTCCTAGATATCCTGACCAACTTTAGCAACTACAGAGAAATACATTTAAAGGAAATCAATAAACATTTTTGTGGAATTGTTAGTGGTGCCAATAATTGTGGGAAACATGATTTCATGTTTTTTATTTTCTAAATGGGTGATTTTATTTTTACCACCAAAATAATGTACTTAAATAAAAGGTTGGATTTTTCTCTTTTTTTGCATTTGGGTTCTTTGTTGTTTAAAAGAAAAGTTGTGGTAAAGTTGTAGGCTTTCTTGTAATCAATCCAGGCAATGCTCAGGTTAGTGTTTCAGGTTCTGCAGTCTCGAGCGACTCTTGGTCTACCAGGAACTGATCCATGTGCCCACTTATCTTAGCAGCTATGATCCAGAACATGAGCTTCCACATTATGGAGAGGCAGTTTATTGGCTGATAGTTGAATGAGACTGTACCTTCTGAGTGATCCTTCAGGATCAGGATTGTGCGCCCGTTAGCCATTCGGAGTGGTCCCCATTTCTCAGCAGCTGGTTGATTTGCGCTGCAAAGTGTTCATTGAGTGCCGTGAGTTTCTTAAGCCAGTAGGCGTGTATCATGTCGGGGCCGATTCTGTCCAGTTTTTCATATCTGAAACTCTTTTCGGATGTCGGCCACTGTGATGGTGACTGGATTCTGTTTAGGGAGGTTGCTGAGGTTCTCTCTCAGAGCCACCAAACACTGTACATCACTGTTGTGTGTTGCCTCTTTCTCCCATATTCCTTTCCAATACTTTTCAGTTTTTGGCCTTGGTGGGGCTGTTCTATTATTACTGTCCTGGCACTGATTGTTCACTTTCACTAGTGGAGTTGAGAACAGTTTACCTTTCTGGCTTCATTGTCTCTCGTGTACTTCTTTAGGTGGCTGGCCAAGGCTTGGAGCCTTTGTTTGGCAGTTTCCAGGGCTTCAGGTATGGGCATCTGGCCTGACTTAGGTTGGGTACTTGCTCCCTAATACTTGCTTTTTCATTGCACCTTTTAGGGCCTCTGTCAACTGACTCACTTCTGTCCATGTTGCCTTGATATTAGCCTCCAGCCTTCTTTTCAGTGGTGTGTATTTAATCACATGGTTGTTCTTACTGCCAACTAGCAGCGAAGGATCACTACTGCTGTGTTGTATATCAGCTCATTTGTGTCAGTGATGGTTGATGTAGGAATTATTTGCAGAGCTGTATTCACGTCTTCTAGAAGACGTGAATACAGAATAGTTTATTTAGTCTATCTAACTGCCATTATCTCATTTTTTTCAGCGTGGTTGTGCTTATTGGGGCATTGTGCCCAATTTCTGGTGGGAGGGTTAGTGTTAACTCCCCTCTGACCTGGGACCCGGGTTCCCTGGTTCCTCCTTACCAGAACAGGGGTTTCGGACCTCTTCAATCTCAACTTGTGAGAACAGTTCCCGTTTATGGATGTCAGAACATTGAGCTACTAGTTGTTTCACCATGAGTGTGGACTGTGGGTTTTGAAGTGACAATGTCTCCCGCATCCTTCACATGTAGCACCTCTGACCCTGTTCTTGAATCTCGCTCATTTCCATCTTGTTCCAGTAGCCCATTTTTTATCAAGGTGCTCTGGTTCCCCAGCACCTGATGCAGACCTTGTTTGGCCAGACTTCTGAGCCAGCATGTCATTAATTTCGTTGTCTCTCATCATTGTTTGAGGTAGGCATTACTGAGAAGGGTCTTGCCCGAGGACCCACACTGGTCTTGGTCCATCCCTGGGTTTTTTTTTGTAGATTGAATCCAGCAGTCTGACAAAAATAGATAGTAGCCCTAAACTGCAATTCAGGGGTACTGTAAATGCTCTCAAAGATTATAATTGATTTCATAGCAGACCTCTGATCTCATTACATTTATACCATCAAATTTGCACTGTAAATCAGGAGGAGGACGTTTTGTAGCTAACACCATTTGGATTGGTCCCACCAAAACCCCAACAAAAAGTATTTTTATTCTTCAGCATTAGTATCTAAGTGCCACTTGATTGTATCTTTTATCGTATATGTGTTGGTTGTTTTGTTCTTTTCACATCTCTCCTTGCAGATGATGAAGCAGACTGAAGATCATTGTCTCCCTTTTATCTCTTCTTTCTTTCATCTTTCATCTTTTTCTACTTACATTGATGTGTCCATATTATTTGCAATACTCCCTGCATAACCATAAAAGCTATTTATATTCATATACCAAGTTTAAAAAATGTATTTATTAGGCAGAAGGGTTTAAAAACAATTCTGCATAATGCACCTGTCTAATCATGATAAATAGTATTTTCAGGAAATTTTATAGAATATAAATGAATTCTAAAGTTCTGTGTATTACTAATTTTCCTCAAATTTGTACTGACAACTCAATCATTTGAAAGAGGTTCAGATGTAAAAAAAAGTCTAAAACGAGTGAAAAAGGTTATTTCCACATATGGAAAAGATTAATTCAAACACCTGTCTTGAAAACAAAAGAAGAAAAAAGAGGTTGCACTCTGCTGTTACTCTATTAACCTGTCACAACAAACTAAAAGAAATGTTATCCGATTATAAAGATTTCTAACAGGCATGCAGCTTTAAGTATGTGTTTACCACCACTTACAGTAAATCTGCTTACAGGCGACGGGTGTTAAACATATCCACGGGCATAGAGGCCTTGGGAACCATTCGGTGGGATCTTACATTGTGCCTTTTTCTGTCCTGGATCATCTGCTACTTCTGTGTGTGGAAAGGAGTGAGATCCACAGGAAAGGTAAGGCTACAATAAACAATATGCTTTGCGTTCTTTAAACTTAATCATATTTTTTATTTAGAAAACAATCAATGGTCAAAGTTTGAATAACTTCGTTAAAAACTGTAATGCTTTGCTTGATTAAAAGTTTTACAAATACCCAGGTTCTGGGTAATTCTACACCCTAATACGAAAACAAAGTTTGTGGTTTAATGAAGTATGGTAATAGGGATTTTAGTCAGCAAAGCTCTCCTGTCTTTGCCTTGGATTAAAAGCTAAGAGAGGGGAAGCAAATGGAAACAATGTATTGAAGCTCTTTAGAGATTCACTAGGGGGGAAAAAACAGCTACACAGAGGAATAAAGAACCCCACTTTTTTTCCATATCATGGAGTTTTCATTCATAAAGAACAAGATCTTAAAGATGTGAAACAGCAAAATTTGGACTTGGCTGGGTTTTGTTTCTATAATGTGGTATTAAGTTTTGCGGATATCTGAAACTTGGCTGAGGCCTCTGTCGTAGGAGATTTTGTAACATTCCAACACAGGATTTTGGATTTCTGGATGTTCCAGATTAATTGAATATTTGGATTATAATGGAGCCTAAAGCGTCTGACAAGATTTATTTCCATGAGATATTGCATATTAAAACACCAAGACATTTTACAGCGAAGTTGAAGTACATGAGTTATTTCCTTACTAGGGGTGTAAATCACATCCATCATGGCGATTCGATTCAGTATCGATTTCCTGATCCAACGATTCGATTATTTTTGATACTCAAGAATACACCACGATGCGATTCGATTCGATAAATCGATTAATCGGTTATTTTTTCAAATTTTTTTTACACCTTACAGGCTAAACAAAGTTCCAAGTTTGAAATAAATCAATGAAAGCTGTAATATTGTTATGCATTTTTTTTTTAGAAACAACAGCAAATAACAGAAGTATAAAAGTTGCATTAACAAATACTGCAAAAATACTGCACATAATCAGTGCAATGAGTGCAATTCAATACCTCGGCTCCAGACGTCCCCGCCCCCAAACTAAAAAGCCCACTTCTGTATTGATAGGATCAATACCTGAAAGATGCTAACATTAGCCAACCTTGCTATCACCACTTTCGTCTCTCTTTGACCAAAAGGGGTGAACGCCTGTACAGATAGTGGACTTCCTGGCTCGGTGAGAGTCACCATACCATTTCTTTGTTAAAGTGATGGAGCCACTGCCTGTCCTAGGACAGAGTGGAAAATGTAGGTTCTGTATCTTCCTGTCTCTACCTGCAGCACTGTGAGTATTATATACAGCAGCTTTATAAATTAAAGATGCTGCGTCAGCAGCATAACCATTTGAAATGAATGGCAGGTGGGTGAACTTCCTGAATACTGCAATGAATAATCAAAAGAAAGTAATATTAGGAAATATAAAGATATAAACTGTATTTTTTTGCAAATAAGAAAAAAAAAGTTTTAATAAAATGCTCTTGCCATAGCTTCTGCAGCAGGGGATCGGACCGCCAGGGTCCCCTTCCCCGGCCGCCATCTAACACACATTGCACCCAACCCCTATGGCCCCTCTCACGGGTGGTGGGCCCATGTAATGGGGGACCCATGTTTACTCTTCGGGCTGAGCCCGGCCGGGCCCCATGGGTAAAAGCCCGGCCACAAGGCGCTCGCCATCGTGCCCCCCCTCCAGGCCTGGCTCCAGAGTTGGGCCCCGGTGACCTGCATCCGGGCGAGTGAACACAGAATCCAAATATCGTACTCATCATAAGGGTCTTTGGGCTGCGCTTTGTCCGGTTCCTCACCTAGTGTGTGAGGCTGAGAGCTTCCGGCTCGAAATAGTCGGTCTCACCTTGACGCATGGTTCTGGTTCTGGAACCATTCTCCTTGAGAGGGGCTGGACATACCTCCACTCTGGAGTTGCCCACGGTGAGAGGCGCCGGGCAGGAGTGGGCATACTTTTGGCCCCCCATCTCGGCGCCTGTATGTTGGGGTTCACCCCGGTGAACGAGAGGGTAGCCTTCCTCCGCCTACGGGTGGGGGATGGGTTCTGACTGTTGTCTGTGCTTACAGGCCGAACAACAGTTCAGATTACCCACCCTTCTTGGAGTCCTTAGAGGGGGTACTGAAGGGTGCCCCTCCTGGGGACTCCCTTGTCCTGCTGGGAGACTTCAACGCTCACGTGAGCAATGACAGTGAGACCTGGAGGGGCGTGGTTGGGAGGAATGGCCGCCCCGATCTGAACACGAGTGGTGTTCTGTTGTTGGACTTCTGTGCTCGTCATGGATTGTCCATAACGAACACCATGTTCAAGCATAAGGGTGTCCATATGTGCACTTGGCACCAGCACACCCTAGGCCGCAGTTTGATGATCAACTTTGTCATCGTTTCATTGGACTTGCGGCCGTATGTCTTGGACACTCGGGTGAAGAGATGTGCGGAGCTTTCCACTGACCACTACCTGGTGGTGAGTTGGCTCCGGTGGTGGGGGAGGATGCCTGCTAGACCTGGCAGGCCCAAAAGTGTTTTGAGGGTCTGCTGGGAACATCTGGCGGAGTCCCCTGTTAGGCGGGGCTTTAACTCCCATCTCCGGCAGAACTTCGAACAAATCCCAGGGGAGGTGGGGGACATTGAATCCGAGTGGACCATGTTCCGTTCCTCCATTGTTGAGGCGGCTTATCTGAGCTTGAGGTTTTCGGTGCCTGTCGTGGCGGCAACCCTCGAACCCGTTGGTGGACACCTGCGGCGAGGGATGCTGTGAGGTTGAAAAAGGAGTCCTATCTGGCCTTTTTGGCCCAATAGGACTCCTAGGAGGAGTTTGAAAAGGCCATGGAGAAAGACTTCCGTAAGGCTCCAAAGCGATTCCGGTCCGCTATCCGGCGTCTCAGGAGGGGGAAGCGGTGCAGCACCAACACTGTTTATAATGGGGATGGTTTGCTGCTGACCTTGACTCGGGACGTTGTGGGTCGGTGGTCGGAATACTTCGAAGACCTCCTCAATCCCACCAACATGCCTTCCATTGAGGAAGCTGGGCCTGGGGACTCTGGGCTCTCCAATCTCTGTGGGCGAGGTCACCGAGGTGGTTAAAAAGCTCCTCGGTGGTAGGGCCCCGGAGGTGGATGAGATCCAGAAGGTCCTGGATGTTGTAGGGTTGTGTTGGCTGACACGACTCTGCAACATTGCATGGACATTGGGGGCAGTTCCCCTGGATTGGCAGACTGGGGTGGTGGTCACCCTATTCAAAAAGGGGGACCGGAGGGTGTGTTCCAATTACAGGGGAGTCACACTCTTTAGCCTTCCGGGAGTACAGGGTGTCGGGCCCTTTGATACGGGCTGTCAGGTCCCTTTATGAACGGTGTCAAAGTCTGGCCCACATTGCCCGCAGTAAGTCGGGCTCGTTTCCGGGGAGAGTTGGACTCCGCCAGGGCTGCCCTTTGTCACCGATTCTGTTCATTACCTTCATGGACAGAATTTCTAGGCGCAGCCAAGGTGGCCTTAGGATTGACTCTGCTTTTTGCAGATGATGCGGTCCTATTGGCTTCATCAGGTCGTGATCTGCAGCTTTCGCTGGATCGGTTCGCAGCCGAGTGTGAAGGGGCCGGGATGGGGATCAGTGCCTCCAAAATCCGAGGCCATGGCCATGAGTCGGAAAAGGGTAGAGTGCCTTCTCCGGGTCAGGGGGTGTGTCCTGCCTCAAGTGGAGGAGTTTAAGTATGTCGGGATCTTGTTCACGAATGAGGGAAGAAGGGAGGGGGGGATCGACAGCATCTGCCGTGAAGCTGGCGCTGTACTGGTCCGTCGTGGTGAAGAGAGAGCTGAGTCAAAAAGCGAAGCTCGCGATTTACCGGTCGATCTACGTTCCTACCCTCATCTATAGTCATGAACTCTGGGTCATGACCAAAAGAACGAGATCGCGGACACAACCTGCTTATTCATCAGGGTTCTTAGTCTTTTACATAAAGCTTGGACTCTGGGATTGGCTGTTAAAAACAAGTTATCTTCACCAATTTAGTAAAAATAATTGCACTATTAATAGAAATGAAAAAAACAACAACAATGCTTTAACTGTAATATTTTTATTGATACTCCTTAGCAGTGTTGGGCACGTTACTTTGAAAAAGTAATTAGTTATAGTTACTAGTTACTTCTCCCAAAAAGTAACTGAGTTACTAACTGAGTTACTCCACAATAAAAGTAACTAGTTACTAGTAAAAGTAACTATTGCGTTACTTTTGCGTTTCTCGCCCCCGTAACCCTCACCACCCAGCCCCCACCTTCTCGCGGTGTGTTTCTAAAGCCAGCTGAATAGAGTGGATGACAAAGACAAGGACCTGCAGAGAGTTTAGTATTTATTGCAACTCAACGTAAATGACATCAGGGGGGAATGCCATGTGAAGTTTTTTAACAGGGCATTCTGATCTGGTGAGTATATGAAATTAATAACTGGGGATGTCTAATTCTGAAATCCTGTGTGTTTGGGTTGTTATAGATAAAAGATGGATCTACATCCCTGCCACAAAGGCCATCAAATAATGTTTAAAATAAAAAATACAGTAGGTTGAAAAGGCAGAGTATCCATCCATCCGTCCATCCATCCATCCATCCATCCATCCATCCATCCATCCATCCATCCATCCAGCCATCCATCCATCCATCCATCCATCCATCCATCCATCCATCCATCCATCCATCCATCCATCCATCCATCCATCCATCCATCCAGCTTTCTCCCTTTCATTTGATCGTTCACGCTCTCCATTGTTCTCCTGTGGCGCGAGCACAGGGCGACTGTTGCACGCCTTTAGCGAGCATGCGCGTTTCCCTGTCGCCGCCTGCGCTGTGCGGAGATGCAGAGGAAACCGTATGTGATGGGGAAACGCAGCTCGACGTAACACCGGTATTTCCATCTGGAAAACGCTGTTTTGCTGCTGGAGTCATCCTCACTCTCCAACTCTCTGTGTGTGCTGTACATTAACACCCACCAGCGGAAACACCCACCTACCAAACTGACAGACGGAATCTCACTATTCATCAGCCATTCTCATCCTCCC